GCGGGCATCGGGCACAGCAGTTACGATGCCCTTGGAACGCCCCTGCCACATCAGAGTGCCTGGTTCCAGCCCTGGCTCCTGACAGACAGCAGATGAGGGCCTAACCACTTGCGTCTTCCATCATGTGAGTTTCTGGCTCCTGATTCCAGCCTAGCCCTGCCCTACCTGTTGTAAACTGTTGGAGGGTGAACAGGTGGCAAGTGAAAGCTGTTTCTTTTTCTCTTTCAAATGAAATGAGTAAATATTTAAAATGTTATTATAGGGCCCAGCATGGTAGCCTAGCGGCTAAGGTCTTCACCTTGCAGGCGCCGGGATCCTACATGGGTGTTGGTTCTAATCCCTGCAGTCACACTTCCCATCCAGCTCCCTGCTTATGGCCTAGGAAAACAGTCAAGGACTGCCCAAAGCTTTGGGATCCTGTGGCTGCATAAGAGACCCCGAAGAAGCTCCTGATCCCTGGCTTCCGATTGGCTCAATTCTGGCCATTGCAGCCACTTGGGGAGTAAATCAGCGGATAGAGTATCTTCCTGTCTCTCCTGCTCTCTGTATATATCTGACTTTCCAGTTAAAGTAAATCTTAAAAAGAAAAAAGAATTATAATTATACAGGGCCCAGTGCAGTGGCCCAGTGGTTAAATCCTTGCCTTGCAATAGCAAGGATTCCATATGGGTGTGGGTTCGTGTCCCAGCTGCTCCACTTTCCATCCAGCTCCCTGCTTGTAGCCTGGGAAAGCAGTAGAGGATGGTCCAAAGCTTCGGGACACTGCACACACTTGGAAGACCCAGAAGAAACTCTTGGAAGACCCGGAAGAAACTCTTGCTTCTGGCTCCTGGCTTCAGCTTGGCTTAGCTCCAGCTGTTGTGGCCACTTGAGGAGTAAACCAGTGGATGGAAGATCTTTCTGTATTTCCTTTTTTTCGTAAATCTACCTTTCCAATAGAAACTTTAAAAAAAAATCTTTTTTAAAAAATGAAATTGCATTTCTTGTGATCTAACTAAGCTATATGCCCATCACTGACATGCCCATCACTGGAAAACATCCAATTGCAGAATTAATTAATTCTAAATGCATTGCTGCACTCACAAAAACAAAGAAAGCTCTCAAAGATGAAAAAAGAAAGAAAGAAAAAAAAAAGAAAAGAAAAGAAAAGAAAAGAGGCAGGGGGAAAGAAATCGAAGGATGGAGAAGAGAGGAAGAGCCTGAGGAAGGCGAGCAGGGCGTGAGGGACTGAGAAATCAGGAAAGCCTAGAGCTGAAAGCAGACATCAGCGATACCTGAGAAACACGCTCCACTCAGCAGCGCTGCTGTTCACCAGCACCACTGGGGAATCTGAGAACTGCAAATAAAGCCAGGCACCAAAAAAAGGGCACATTTTTTGTCTGACCTGTGAAGGGAAAATCAACATGCTGGCAACAAACACCGACAAGCAGAGAGGGAGGTGTCCAGCCTGAGTTAAGATGTGGACATGGGAGTACGCAGTCTCAAGGCCCAGCTCTGGCTCTCTGTCTCAGGTTCCTGCTGACACAGCAGCAACAGCGCTGGAACCTGGGATCTTGCTGTCCTTGCAGGAGACCTGCATTGCTTTCCCAGCTTTGCCCCAGCCCTGCCCTGACTTTTGCAACCATCGGAGGGAATGAATTAGCAGACAGCTCAGTTCCCTCTTTGTCTAGTGCTAGCACTCTGTGTAAGTTTGCCTTTCCAATAAAAATAAATCTTTAAAAATATATGTATCAAGCATACCATGTGATAGATGAGGAAATACAAACTAAAAAAAATAAGACATATAAAGGCCACAGACATTGAAATTGTTACCAGGCTATGAAGTTTAAGCACACTTAAGGTGTTTCAATTGAAAAGCAAGATAAATGCCACTTACAGCAGAAAGCAATGACACTGGGCCCGGTGGCGTGGCCTAGCGGCTAAAGTCCTCGCCTTGAACGCGCCGGGATCCCATATGTTCACCGGTTCTAATCCCAGCGGCCCTGTTTCCCATTCAGGCTCTGCTTGTGGCCTGGGAAAGCAGTCAAGGACAGCTCAGACCCTGCACGTGTGTGGAAGACCACAAGAACAATCGAGAATTAAGGGTTAGTGTCATGCAAAGCAGGTTAAACTGTCAATTGCAATGCTGGCATCCCATATCAGAATGCTAATTTGAGTTCTGGCTGTTCTTCCAATTCAGCTTCCTATCAATGTTAGGAAAGCAGAAGATGGCCCAAGCTTGGCCACCATCATCCCTGTGGGATACCAGCACAGAGCTCCTGGACTATCAGTTTCGGGTAGGCCAAGACTTGGCTGTTGGGACCATTTGGGGGAATCAGTGAATGGAAAATATTCTCTTCTCCTTTCCTTTCTCTGTTTGAACCTCTCTGTCATTCTGCCTTTTCTCAAAAAAAAAAAAAAAAATAGGTACAAAAGGGCCTGGTACGCTGGTTCAATGGCTAACTCCTCACCTTACAGGTGCTGAAATCCCAAATGGGTGCCAGTTCATGTCCTGGCTGCTCCATTTTCCTTCCAGCTCCCTGCCTGTGGCCTTCAAAAGCAGTAGAGGATGGCCCTAAGCCTTGGGACCAGGAGACAGGAGCTTCTTCCAAGTTTGCCATGTGGGTACAGGGTTCCAAGTTTAGAGCCGTCCTCCTCTGCTTCCTCAGGCCACAAGCAGGGAGCTGGATGGGAAGCAGAGCAGCCAGGACATGAACTGATGCCCATACAGGATGCCAGTGCTTGGAGGCGTCAAGATTAGCCACCCATCCCCTGGCACCCCAGGCCTCATCTTTTGATATAACGAAAGTGAGAGTTCCTGACATCTCTTATCTTCTATCTCTCTGCCCTTCTTTCCAAGACACAAACTTTTTCAAAGGTTCCTCATTACATTAAAGATAAATTTCAAACCTCTTTTTTTTAATATTTATTTTTATTACAAAGTCAGATATACAGAAAGGAGGAGAGACAGAGAGGAAGATCTTCTGTCTGAGGTTCACTTCCCAAGTGGCCGCATGGCTGGAGCTGAGCCGATCCTAAGCCAGAAGCCAGGAGTTTCTTCTGGGTCTCCCACGTGGGTGCAGGGTCCCAAGGCTTTGGGCTGTCCTCGACTGCTTTCCCAGGCCACAAGCAGGGCGCTGGATGGGAAGTGGAGCTGCTGGGATTAGAACCAGCGTCCATATGGGATACCAGGCGCGTTCAAGGCAAGGACTTTAGCCACTATGCTATCGCGCCAGGCCCATATTTCCACCTTTTTAGCCTAGTATCCAGGGCCCAATGAAATTTTTTTTAAAAGATTTATTTATTTATTGGAAAGTCAGATATACAGAGAAGAGGAGAGACAGAGAGGAAGATCTTCCATCCGATGATTCATTCCCCAAGTGAGCACAACGCCGATGCTATGCTGGTCTGAAGCCAGGATCCAGGAACTTCTTCCAGGTATCCCACACGGGTGCAGGATCCCAAGGCTGGGCCATCCTCGATTGCTTTCCCAGGCCATAAGCAGGGAGCTGTATGGCAAGTGGAGCGGCCAGGATTAGAACCAGCGCCCATATGGGATCCCGGTGCGTTCAAGGCGAGAACTTTAGCCACTAGGCCATGCTGCCGGGCCCAGAAATTTTTTTTTTTTTAAGATTTATTTATTCTTTATAACAAAGTCAGATATACAGAAAGGAGGAGAGACAGAGAGGAAGATCTTCCATCTGATGACTCACTCCCCAAGTGACCGCAATGGCTGGTGCTGCGCCGATCCGAAGGCAGGAGCCAGGAACCTCTTCCGGGTCTCCCACGCGGGTGCAGGGTCCCTTAGCTTTGAAATCTTTTTAACTGCATCTCCTTCGGCCTCCCCCAGACTCAATCCTGCTGACAGACTATATACCTTCAGTGCCTGCAATACCACACTTTCTCTGTCCTAACACCTTTGCACCTGCTGATCTTTCTGCTTAACTGTCCTTTTCTTGCTCTCTGCACTGTAACCTAATTTTCTTGATTCCTCAAACAGCATTAATCCTTTCTTCTGGGAAAACAGCCCCCAACAAGTAACCAGTTCCCCAGGCTGGTAGAAGCTCCGCTCTGTCCTCCACCTCCACGGCTCTGTGCATATTTCTCTTTCCTCCAGCTGAAATGCGATGCACTCAGCTTTCAGACTGATAATTTTCTGCCACCTCAAGAGGGAGCATCCATCTGATCTCTATGTGTACTGTAAGCCAGCTTCAACTCCCAGAGTCAGCTCACGGCTTGTCAAGATCACTTGGTTAATCAGTGCTGGAGCTAGAGAACCTAAGCTGCTTCACTTTCAGTTCAGCTCTCTGACACCGCCAGCCTTTGGTAAGGACGAGACCAGTGCATTTTATAAAGGAGGTAACAACCATCACGTGGCCTGAAAGGAAGCAAGACAACACAGGGTGATGATTTTAGAGCAAAGAGGGGAGAAATGAGAAAGGCTCGCGTTGGACTTGTCATTTTTAGCATAAGTACTTCCTTAAGATATCAAAGTTGAATAAGACAGTTCACAGCTGACACAAGTATAAAAAAAGATGGGACAAACTCTATGAGGGGAGGAGGTCTGTAATCAGGAAACTTTAAAAGAAACAAATTACCATATAGGGTTCACTATGTACCACATGTTGATTGAAGACACACCAATTTTGTCACATAATCTTCGAAACAATCCCATGTGGCAATAATGGAAACTGAGACCCTTACAGGTTTAAGGGGGATGTGTAGGGTTCCACGGGTAGAAAATAGCAGCATTGGAGTTTGAATGAGGCACTTCAGTGTTAGAACATATGTTCCTGTCACAATGCCTAAAGTACGATCATGACTGTGGTAATGAACCCAAAAGGGACCACTCAGATGCCACCATGTAAAATATGAATCATGTGAAGGAAGCAATCTCTAAACTCAGGGAGAAGGCTGTTAGGCCTGCCATCCTCCTACCCCCCTCCCCCAAGGGGATGGGGGTTCTATATTCTATGATGTAGCGAAGACCTCAGGGTTAACTGCCACTTGGCTGAGAAATAATGCAATGGCTGCTGGAGGACTTGTTTGGGGCTGGAGGAGACATGGGGCCTCTCTGGGACCAGCTAACACACGCCCTGGCCTGCAGACACTGTGGCAGCAGCTGCCTCCACAGCCCGGGAAGCCTGGTGACACTATTCTTGTTCATGGTCTGGCAGATCCGGAGGTGGCACCATCTTGGGAAGTGGCAACAGCTTCAGCCCTGGTGGTCTGGGGACAAGGTGCAAGGCAAGGTGAGTGATCTCAGATGTGCAGCCATGTCAATGACTGCTGGTAATGTGTGAGATCAGATGAGGGGTTGCTGGAGCAGAGATGGACCCAGTTGAAGGTCCCATCCCTCCCCTTGAGGGAGGTTCACTGGGAGACCAAGTCCTCCCTCGGCCTGAATCCCAGATAACCAAACCCACCAAGTTCTCATCTGAGGTGCAGGGAGCGGTGTCAGGGGACCCCAGCTTCCACCAGCCCAAGCCAGATTCACTCCTTGCCACTGTGTTGTGTCCTTCCAGCTCTTTGGGAGTCCCAGTTAGGTGTGAGGCCCAGTGGAGCACCACAGTCCAAAGGGGTGGCTGAGTGACCACTGGCCCGAGCTTTGTAGTCGATGAGACACATAGGGTTATGTGAGGAAATGGTGCTCTCCACATGGCTCGGGTTGAGCGTCTACTCAGCAAGGAGATCAGAGACTGAGGGCTTCGTGACACTGCATCTCCCCAAAGGCTTCCTTCCAATGCCTGATCACAGTTTTCTCTTCTCCTAGGGCCTATCGCTTCTGCACCATGTGGCTTTCCTGGATTGCCTGTGGAAGCATAAATCAGAAGAGGAAGAGGAGGAGGAGGAGGAGGAGGAAGAGGAGGAGGAGGGGATGGAGGAGAAGGAGGAGGAGGAGGAGGAGGAAGTGTCTCTAGACCCTGTGGAACCACGTTCTTCTGCCCAAGGAGCTTCCATAGAAGAGCAAGTCACTACTGCCCCTCCTCAGCTATCCTGTCGCTCAGTGGGCCTTCCCAAGGCCACAGGGACATCAGAAAAAACATTCACCCACCCCGTAAGTGCTTCAGGATCCTTCCCCACCTTCCAGATCCTAACCAACCTACCCCCAGAGCACAAGACCACAGCAGGAAGCCACTTGCCACAGAGGAAAAGCCAGCTCTTCTGGGGTCTGCCCTCTCTGCACAGCGAGTCTTTGGAGGCCATTTTCCTGGACAGAAATGGCTCCTCTCCTCTTAAGTTTTATGTTTGTCCTTCTGTCTTCTTCAACAGGCTTGCCTTCCTGCCGAGGTATAACTTGCTCCTTCCTCAGCATCACTCCCCAACTCCGTTTCCCACTGATGAAGCATGTACTTTAGATGTGGAAGGAACAGGCCCTGATCCTCCCCTGCTTCCATGTCCATCCTCCCTTCCTGGCCCCTCAGCACCCCTCTGCCTTATGCCCTTGGCTGTGGACCACAAGGGAATCCTATCCAGTGCTGAAGGGCAGTGGCCTACACAGCAGGGAGAGGTTCACTGGGGAGACCAAGTCCTCCCTCGGCCTGAATCCCAGATAACCAAACCCACCAAGTTCTCATCTGAGGTGCGGGGAGCGGTGTCAGGGGACCCCAGCTTCCACCAGCCCAAGCCAGATTCACTCCTTGCCACTGTGTTGTGTCCTTCCAGCTCTTTGGGAGTCCCAGTTAGGTGTGAGGCCCAGTGGAGCACCACGGGGCAAAATGACGACCCGAAACCCTTAGAGTTGGCAATGCCAGCTCCTGGCTCAGCCCCAGCCTCACTGCCAGGGCTCCAGGGAATGAACCCCACAGGGGGCCTGTCTGCTTCCAAAGTCCTCCGGGATACTAAAGGGCAAAAAGAGAACACTCAGGTCTCCAAGTTCCCAACCCTGGCACCTTGCCAATCCCCAGCTCCTGCGACAGAAGTACAGCGAACCAACCCCTTGAGAATTCCACCTGGCTATGAGACTCACTGGGGAATCGCACAACAAAAACTGAGTCCCATGACCCTTCAGTCCCTAATGACAAGCAACTATCAACATGTAGCTTCTCTGTCAGAATCCTCAGTGAGTCCCGACAGAGGACACTGTGCACCTTTCTTGGGACCTAGAGGCTATCGAGAGGCCCCGCAGACCTTTGAGGCTCCAATGCCACCCTCTTGCCCTCTCCTAAAATCCCTGCCGGAACGCCACAGTCAGCATCCCCTAGCATTTGAGGCTCAGATGGGAAGGAGAGAAAATTCAGGAAACAGGGCAGAGCCCTCAGGCTTGGCCCTCAACCCAGCACTTCAGGGATCCAGCCCAGCATCTGAGACTCACAGGGCAGACATGCAGAGTAGACAAAATTTCCCAGTTTCTGTAGAAGCAGCTTCTTCTCCCGGCCTGCCCTCCTCCTCAACACTAGAGTCTCTGGTGACAGCTCCCAAGGGAGCCCTATCCGAGCCCACAGCTTTTGGGGAGATCAGTGTGCAGACAGAGACTCTCTGGGCCTCTGACGCCCCATGCCCCGGGCCCAGTGCACCATTAGCCCCCTTTACAGAGCATGTACTCAGTACTGTGGAAGGCCTCCCTGGATCAGAAGCCACACAGAAGGTTGCTGGATGTTCCAGGAATTCATGGGTTTCTGAAACCCCATTTCTGGCCCTCAGGACACCCCCAGATATTATACTAGAGCCCCCTGGGGTTGGTCCCAGTGGGGGATTATTGAACTGCGAGGCTGGACATGGGGATATGGGAGCGAAAAAGAACCCCTGGGATTCCATGTTCCCTGCTTGCGGCTTACCCCAAGGTCTACCAGGAGTCCTGTTTGACTACAAGCCTGGTGCAGGGGACAGGGGGCAGAAACAAAACCATGTTCCTGTGGCCCCCGTTTGGGATCCCAAACTACTCCCAAAGTCTGTTTCAAAGTACCAGATAAGCAGTGCATCTTTTGAAGATCAAAGTAACTGTAAACCTGAGGGTGAGGTAGTGGAACAGAATGAAAACAGCTGTGCCATCCAGCTCCCAGCTCCCAGCTCCCACTCTGTCCCTCTGCCACTGTCACACACTGACCTTGAACCTGTATGTGAAAAAGTGCAACCAAGAGAGGTCCCCCAGGACCCCAGCCCTCAGACAGTGGATGCCTTGCAGTCCACAGTCTGGTCTCCCTCCACAGCTGAAGTGCTGAGGATTGAGCCTCCTGAGCCTGGCTTTTCCAGCCAGGTTCCAGGGACCCAGGTGGAAGCCCCAACCTCCCAGGGAATGGTGGTCCCACAGGTGCTCACTCAGAGCAACACCCAAGCCTGGCAATGGAGTCGAGAGTTAGAACTCACCCTAAAGAAACTGCAGCAGAGCCCTGCTTCCAGATCTCCTGGTCCAAGCGAACCAGGGTGCAGCTCTCCTGTCCCGAGCGCCACAACTCCAGACTCTCAAGGATTCTTCTCCTACCCCCCAAGGCAGACTCGTCTCCCTGGGCTGTGCCCCAACTCTTCAAGTCATCATTCTCTAACAGAAGCTAAGAGCACAGCACTTCAACCTGTCCAGGCTTCCCCCAGCTTCTCCTCCCAGACTCAGTCACAAGGGTCTGACAAGGCAGAGCAAGGGCCCCACAGAGAGGAGAAAATAAAGAGGAAGATGGTGGCCCAGGTCTTGTCCCAGGGCCCATGTGTTCAGAGGGAAGCTGGATGGGACTGGCCAGGTCTGGGAAAACTCTCAAACCCAGTTCTGGCTTCAGGCAAAAGACAGGACCAAGCCTCAACCCTAACTCCAGCCAGAAAGAGAGAAGGCCCTAAAAAATGTCAAGCAGGAGCGCATGGAAGAGGAAGGATGGGATCATCCACAGTCACAGCAAAGAGCCACCCTGTCCAGGCCCCATGTGTACTGGAAGCCTCTGGGAACTCTCAGCACCAAAGCCAGAGACCACAACCCCCAACCCTTCCCCAGCAGCTCCCCACCAAGGCTGTGAGCATCCAGTGCCTGAGAAGGGATATGCACAACCTTCACCAAAGTAGGCATTGTCCCTGGGCCCTCCCAAGGACACACATCACATCTCTGCCCTCCCGCACCCCAGGCTCCCCTCACCTAGGATCTTCAAAAGGCATTAGCCATGGTCCTAGGTTCCCAAGGAACCCCTGCCCACTAAATCCAATCCAATAAAGGCTGGTGGTAGTGCTGGCACCCAGTTCCCCAAGGCCTGAAGCCAAATCAGGCAGAAAGCAAGAAATTCTAAATAAACTAGCTACACCGAGATGAATCATACGTTGTCTTTGGAGTTCAAGGTCCTGGGAATGTCAGGTTCCTCTCAGCTGCTGTAGCAACCACACCCTCTCAAGCAAAGCTCAACATTTTTCAAGCTTCCCTTCCTGCTCCAGACTACACCGGTGACCACCTCTCAAATTCACAGATCCCTACTGTACAGGGTGAGGCTGTAGAGTCAGGGGAGCACATTTGAGGTGGTGGTCCCCTGTCATGGCAAGCAAACAGAAAAAATACATCCACTTTCATAAACGTAACTAGTGTGGATCAAGATAGTGGTCCTTGGTCCCAAGTAGGGCCCCCTTCTTTATCCGCCGTACTCAAGATCTGGAAACACAGTTCCTTGTCATGTAAAGGAAGCATTAGGAATTTTAACAAATCACCACAAAACTGACTAAGCCAAAGTGTTGAGCAGGATTGTTCCATCTGTAGGCTTTGGTTAGGTTCACCCTTTGGCCATTCCTGGCTTCTGGAGGCTGTATTCCTTGGTTACAGGCCCCTTTTATCACCCTCAAAGATGTCAGGGCAAGTCTTCACATCTCATCTGGTCTCTTTTTGCTCCTTCCACTTTCAAGGACACTGCTGAGTACAATGGAATCATTCAGACAATCCAGGGACTCTGAAGTTGGTTGATGACCAACCCAAGTCCTCTTGACAGGTATATTTACACAGTTGGTGTTGCGGCTCAATAGGTTAATTCTGCACCAGCAGCATCAGCATCCTATATAGGTGCTAGTTCCTGTTCCAGCTGCTCCACTTCCCCTCCAGCTCCCTGCTTATGGCCTGGGAAATAAAAGATGGCCCGAGTCTTTGGGCCCCTGCACCCACGTGAACCTGGCTTCAGATTAGTTCAGCTCTGGTTGCTGAGTCCCAACTCTTCCGCTTCTGATCCAGCTCCCTACTAATGTCCCTGGAAAAACCATGGAAGATAGCCCAAGTGTTTGGGACCCTGCCATCCATGTGGGAGAGCTGATGAAACTCCTGCTTTTGACCTGGCCTAGGCCTTGGAGCACTGTGACCACCTAGGGAGGGAAACAGCTGAGCCAGATGCTTGCTACTAGTTTCACACTGTGAGACAATATTCTGAACTCCTATTCCCAATGATATCCAATTTTCACTGTAACACGTTTTAGTATACTGAGCACATTTCATAAGTCGGACCACGGCCAGTTCAGTGGCTCAACTGGCTAATCCTTTACATTCAAGTGCTGACATCACTTATGGGCTCTAGTTCATGTCCTAGGTGCTTCACTTCCAATCCAGCTCCCTACTCATGGCCTAGCAAACCAGAGCACAATGGGCCAAAGCCTTGGGACCCTGTAACCATATGGGAGACCCAAAAGCTTCTGGCTGTAGATTGGTTCAGCTTTGGCTGTGGCAACCACCAGGGGAGTACACCAGCAGATGGAAAATCTTTCTCTCTATAAAAATGCCTCCCAATAAAAATAAATCTCCCCCCCCCCCCAAAAAAAGTGGTCTATTGCCAAACATTTAAAAACCTCTAGACATCAATGCAACATTATCAATAGTCCATGGGCATTCTCAACTAGTCCAAAACCTTACTCATTACTCATTTTCTTAATAACCTTTTCCTCCAATATGCATGTTTCTACAGAAGGTTATACATTCATCTAATACTTAGGTAAAATCTGCCATCTTTGACTTTTTCTTTGCCCTCCTCCCTGATCCACCATGTCAATTGTAGCTATGCAACATATTTTAAAACCATCTTTACCTCTCAGTGTCCACCATCACTGTCTTAGTGCCATCACTTCTTACTCGATCACCTTTTGCATGGCTACAGCAATCTGGAGGATTGCTTCAACAGATTCAGGGTTCTAAGTTTGGCAGGATAGAACTGGCGCCGTGCTCAGGACATAGAGCCACTGCCTGCAGTGCCAGGTCCCACATGAGCACCAGTTTGACTTCTCCCTGCTCTACCTTAGCCAGCTCCTTAGCTAACGCACCTGAGAAAGCAGCCTGGTCAAGCCCAGGCAGCCATTTGTGAACGAGCCAACAGATGGAAACTTGCACTTCACTCTGCCACTCCCTCTGTAACTTTTTCAAATAAGTTTGGTATGATACTGGTTTGCTTAAAACAGTTATGAACATAATCTCTGCTACTCAGGGACTCTGAATATGCTATGGATATAAATTCATCATGCTTTCAAGCTTGTCGAAAAGGAGAGATTAACAGCCTTTTAAAAATACAGAGCCCGGCCCGGCGCGTTGGTGCAAGTGGTTAAGGTCTTCACCTTGCACGCCCGGGATCCCATATGGGCGCCGGTTCTAATCCCGGCAGCCCCGCTTCCCTTCCAGCTCCCTGCCTGTGGCCTGGGAAAGCAGTCGAGGACGGCCCAAAGCTTTGGGACCCTGCACCCGAGTGGGAGACCCGGAAGAGGCTCCTGGCTTCAGATCGGCATAGTATCGGCCCGTTGCGCTCACTTGGGGAGTGAATCATCGGACGGAAGATCTTCCTCTCTGTCTCTCCTCTGTATATCCGCCTTTCCAATGAAAAAATAATAAAAATAAATCTTTAAAAAAAAACAGAGCAATATGATCTCAATTTAGAAAGGAATACCACATCTACAAACATTAACATACACAGAAGAGACCCAGAAAAATATACACTAAAATTATCAAGACGGTGATCTCCGGTATTGGAAATAACTTTAAAATTTTGCTTATATTTCTTCATAATACAGATTAATGCTTTTATAAAAACATTAAGAATCAGTTGTCTATGCATAACAATTTGCGAGAGGCAATACTATACTACACACTTAAAAATTCTTGTGTAAAATTTTCTGCCACTCTTAAAAAAAAGCAATGGTCTGGTGGAATGGCTTAACAACTAAATCCTCAACTTGCAGGTGCCAGGAGCCCATAACTGTACTGGTTTGTGTCCCGCTGCTTCACTTCTCCAGCTCCCTGCTTATGGCCTGGAAAAACAGAAGACAGCCCAAAGCCTTGGGACCCTGCACCTACCTGAGACCTGGAAGAGGCTCCTGGCTCCTGATCAGCTCAGCTCTTCCTGTTGTGGCCATTTGGGGAATGAACCAGTGGATGAACATCTTTCTGTGCCTTTCTCTCCATTAATCCAATCTGCCTTTCCACTAAATAAACTTAAAAAGCAAGCTGTGTAACATTGCCCGGCAAAAATTCCCCTCACCTTTGACAGAATTCATACTTGGCATTTGAGGTTCTCTACAAATGGTCCCTGACTGTTCCAGTCCTTCCTATACTCTCCCACTAGCCTAACTTTACATTGGTTAAACCTGTCTTGTTCAGAGTCCGGCACAGTAGCCTAGTGGCTACAGCCCTTGCCTTGCATGCGCCAGGATACCCATATGGACGCTGGTTTGTATTCCACCTGCTTTTTCACTTTCAGCTCCCTGCTTATGGCCTGGGAAAGCAGTGGAGGATGACCCCACACCCGTGGGGGAGACCTGGAAGATGCTCCTGGCTTTGGATCGGTTCAGCACAGGCTGTTGTGGCTACTTGAGGAGTGAACCAGCAAATAGATCTTCTCTGTAAACCTTACTTTCCAATAAAAAAAAAAAAATCAAATCTTTAAAAAAAAAAAGAGAAACCCATCTTGTTCAAACCACACTTTCCCACCTTCAAGGCACAGCTTACACTACTTCAAGGCTTCCTAGAGAACCCTAATCTTAGCATGGTTTCCCCTTGCTTATAGCCACACATGCCCTGGTCCCCGTTTCCTGAAAGTAAGGTGTTAGATAGTGAGGTGCTGTAAGGTGAAGTCCACACTAACCAATCTAATGCTCTTTCCACCTCTTACCTATACAACTGGAAGAAAAGAACAGGTCAGAACCCATGCTTCCTTTTTAGTCACACTTAAGCTTCAACTCAAATTTACCCACAGAGGCTGAGTACAAAACGCCACCTGCTGGTCAAAACTGGAACTGAATGGTCTCGCCAGCGCCTATGCAACTTGAATTCCCATTTGACAAGGGAAGTTAGTAATTTGTCCTTGCATTGACAGTTTCTCAAAAGAAAAAAATAAAAAATCCTATGGTCTCAAATGGTTGAAAGCCTTCAACAGGCTGCAAATACGGGAAAGGGTAACATACCACTCAACATTTGCCACTGTTGAGTTGAATTAATGATTGGACATGCACTTCGTACCCTACAAACTTTCTATGCAATTTATTAGATAGTTATCTGGGACTATATACATGTGTGTATAATATATACATACGATGTGAGCTCTTATTTCCATCGTTGCTTTTCCTTTTATGACATAGCTTGATGTTACCATACTGGCCAAAACCCACCTTGCATTCAGAGCACTTATCATACATACACAAACCTTCAGCTTACTGTAGTAAAATTGTATCTCGAATTCTTCTGGAGGGAGAAAGGTGATCCAGCCTTATCATTTGCCTCTTGGGGTTAAACACACAGGTTTCTGAAGTGTTACACTAACACTTACAGTGCCAGACACTGCTTTCTGGAGTTTAAAAACACATTTTTATCTGATGAAGAAACTGGCTACCGAACAACCAAGCACTTCATGCACAATTACACTATTACAAACCACAAGTACCAGGAGTGGACCTCCCGACTAAGGTCTCTCTTGGAAGAGGAACTTCCGAAAAGACTGGTTGGCTTTAACTAGCCACACAATCATTGTGAAAAAATTTCTATTACCTATCAACTTACTATGTCCACATTTCCGGGATATTTGTCTTCTGGTAATTCCCAGACTCGATGAAAAGGATACAAAGGGCTTTCCCCAGTAATCTTGGTTTTAATCATCACTTCTTAGGTTGTCACCCCACAGAAATGACGCTGACAAAATGAGAATGAAAAGACCCAAGGCTAAGCCGTCGAATCTTCTAGCTAAGACAGCATACCAAGACACAACCTGGTAGGAAACATCTGAATCCCGTAAGTGCTCTTCTCACAGCATATGAACTCAAGAGAAGCTTGTTTAATCAAGCAACGTAGTTTTTTCCCTTGTACATTAGCAAATCATATACACCAGACCACAGCCTGGTCTCTTTTTTTTTTTGCCTAGTGTAAGTATCACAACCAAAACTCCAGAAATACTGAGGGATTATTTTGGTTCTGGTTCAATACAGAAGATGCTCTAAAGCCACTGTTTGGACAAAACATTTAACAAACCATCTGAACAATCTGTGAGCAGAGAAGGGTATGTACCTCAGAAAAAAACACTCCAATTCTAGAATTATGTAACAGCAAAAGCTGTCCCTTTTAATACAACCACTACTATTTACATGAAGTGGAATATACTATATGTGATCCTCAGTCAGGATGCTTGGGGTTCTCAGATATATCCACCTGCAGCAAACCGCATCTTTTTCTTAATATTTATTTATTTTTACTGGAAAGGCAGATAAGATTTATAGAGGAGAGATACAAAGATCTTCCAACCGCTGGTCCAGTCCAAAATTGGCCGAAATGGCCAGAGCTGAGCTAATCTGAAGCCAGAAGCCAGAAGCCTCTTCCTTATCTCCCACATGGATGCAGGGTCCCAAGGCTTTCAGCCATACTCCTCTCCTTTCCCAGGCACAAGTGGGAACTAGGAGGGAAGTGAAGCAATGGAACATAAACTCGCACCTACAGGATCCCAGCGCTTGAAGGGGGAGGATTTAGCTAAGCCATTGAGCTAGGCCCATGATCTTCAGAGGACACCCCAGTCAGGTCCTCAGTCAGGATTAACGAGCCCTTCAGGTGGAGTGATCCCACATTCTTCGTATGAGCTCCATCAGGATAGCCCCTCCACTGCTGTCCTGTTCACTGATGGCACAGATGCAAGCTGGGGCAGCAGGAGATGATGGTAACCAAAAGGCAAGAGGGTATAACCTTACTTCCAGGACTGCACACTGGAACTATGCTGTGGTGGCGAGAGGCAGCCCAAGGCCCTTCCCAGGCAAAGAAGCAGGCACAGGGGCCACCACTCAGGCATCATTTTGACCCAACATTTATTGTCCTTTTATAACATGTCATATTTTTGGTTTAGAAACTGCTTGTGATTAGTTTTCCAACAGTAACTCAAAAGCATGTAAAATAAAAACCTACTCTCTATATAAACACTCAGCAACTGTGGCCCCTCACACACCTACCCAAATTGGATAAGGGGAAGGGAGAGCTTGGGCAGCCTCGAGTGAAGGGAAGATGCCTACTGTGGGGGCAGCACTAGTGCCTGGGTTTGCATCCCACACAGGTACCCCGCACTGCTTCAAACTATGAAAGAAATGGCCTAGGCCCAAGGCCCAATCCCTGTTGGTAACTCACTCTCCACCTCCCAAATGAAAATTACTTTTATTTTTATCGTTTTTGTATTTTTTTTGCAACAGAAACCCCATGTCCAGAGTCTGACTGTAGCCGAACTGCTCAGACTGAAGAATGAAGCAGGCCGTGGGCGCACCCCTGGTCCCTTCTGGGCAAGCGCCCCCACCCCTGGGAACAAGGTCCAGCCAGGCCAGCTTGTTGCATGCTGGCTAGTGTCACTTAACCATACAGGTCATCATCATTGTCTTCTGTATACACACTGCCGCCTGTGCCGCCTCCACTGCCCTGACTGGGGCCAGCTCCACCCTGGTTCCCTGAAGGGAATCTGTGTACAAGAGCAGAAGCAAAAAACAAAATTAGGAAAGGATAGGAAAAAGAAAATAAAATCTGTGTAGGATTTTCAGAACTATCCCTCCAGAAGCCTTAAAACTCCAACAGCTAGTTTGAAAAGGTACCCAAGACACCTTAGGCACCACCAACTACCCTCAGTTACCTGAAGCTGCCAAAGCCTCGACTCTGCTGCAGGGTCTGGGCAAACATCTCGTATTTCCGAATGTCATTGTCACTGACGGAACGGCGGGCAAAACGCATGGCTTCCTCAAAGTGGTCACGGCGAATCTCTGGCACTGGATCATCCTCTTCTACTTCCTGCAGTGTCAGTAACAAGACCATCAGGGCTAGTTTTAAGGCTCAGTCTAAACTCAATTCCTGACATCCCTAAGGTGGCTTGAGTTTATCAATTTGCCTGTCCCTCCAAACCCAACCCACACTTCCTCCTAAGACTGAATCACTGCTCTCCTTAATGCATCAATGCATTCTGGAAAAAAGCAAACCAGAGATATGAAGATCGTTATCAGTGGTTTCCGAGGGGCTTAGAAGGGGAAGATGTTGACTGAAATGGCTTAAAGGAACTTTCTAGAAAAGAAATTTCTGTGCTTCAACTGTGATAATAGACTCTAAGAAGCATGGAAATTGGGGATCAGCATTGTTCCCTAGAGGGCTAAGCTATCATGCCAGCACCCATTGAGGGCCGATTCAAGCCCCATTTACTCCAGTTTGGATCCAGTTCCCTGCTAATGCACCTAGGAAAGTAGCTTGAGATGGCCCAAGTCCTTGGTCCCTATATTCATGTGGGAGACCCCGAAGAAGCTCCAGGATGCTGGCTTCCAATTGGCCCAGCTTCAGCTGTTGCAGCCATTTGAGAAGTGAACCAGTGGATGGAAGATCTCTTTCTGTCTCTCCTCTGTAAAATCTGCCTTTGAAATAAAAAACAAATCTATATAAAAGCTTAAAGCATGAAAATTGTTACATGACAGAGTGTATTTTACTGATATGTCAATAAATCTGAAACTTAAGTCTAGGACTTGAGCAAGCCATGCAACTGCATTTCCCTTTATCCATGTCCCAATATTTTCTTCAAAGACAGGCTCAAACATTATCTCTTGCACTGAGGCCCCCTCAAAATGCTTGCAATTATGAAATGGCTCCCTAGGATTAGAGCTTCTATTTCTAAGCTCCCTGCAGGAGGTGGGAGGCAGGACACACATCATAGGTGCCTTCCAAAAGGTAAAGAAAGCCATTTACTCACTAGGTCCTAAAGATAATGTCAGCATACAATTAGAAACTAGTGAAATGATGCAAGTCCTTTCCTTCTCTCCCTCTCTCTCATCATTCAGGAGGTGCGTGGATCCCATCCCCACCACCCAAAGATGGATCTACAGATCCCAGGCCTGAAGCTCTGTGCTCCCCCACCCTCCGCCCCACTGCTTTTCTGCTTGCACTATCACATTCTGATCCCTCCAGGACCTAATTTGAACTGAGCATACACAGCGGCCTACCCATCTCAGCCTTTTTCCAGATTAAACAGGTTCAGCTTAGTGCTTTCTTTGGTGCTCCAATAAACATCTTATCAGAGGCGCTTCCCAATACCATGCTCTCTCAATTCCAGGGCATGGTGGCAACTGTTGCCTGACTCCCCAGGTCTGAGAAAACTGGGAAAAAGATGCAAACTTACCATGGCTGATGGGTTTGTCTGCCTCTCCCGTTCTCGCCTAATTTCACTCTCGATGGATTCACGGATGGCCAGTTTACAAGCACGTTGGCAAATCTCTGTTAAATCAGCTCCAGAGAAGCCATTAGTCATCTTAGCCAGGAATTCCAAATCCACATCCTAGTAACAAGCAAAACAACAGCTAACTTAACATTTAGCCTTTCCTTCCAAGGAACACAGGATCTTTGGGGGTACCCAAGCACTCAACTCCAGTTCGCCCATGTTTTGCCAATCCATTTTATTCCTTTAGATAACTGTATTCCTTCAGATATTTCACTTTTCGCTGACACCAACTCCAACCTCAGAAACCCCGTTAGAAGCTCAATGGTCTGGGGTCCCACACGTGCCTTGGCAACAGGAGACTTGCGCAGGTTGGCCTTGAGGATAGCAACACGGGACTTCTCATCAGGAAGTGGGATGTAGATAAGCTGATCAAGGCGGCCAGGTCTCAAGATGGCAGGATCAATGATATCAGGCCTGTTGGTAGCGCCAATGATGAACACATTCTTTTTCGTGGACATGCCATCCATCTCTGTCAGGATCTGGTTGATGACTCGGTCAGCAGCCCCACCACCATCTCCAATGTTACCACCACGAGCCTTGGCAATTGAATCAAGCTCATCAAAGAACAGTACACAGGGAGCAGCTTGGCGGGCCTGTGGGGTGAACAGACTCAATTACCAAAGTGCAGATCTTAGATGAAAAACAAAATACCCTTCATTGCCCCTGCTCAGTTACCAGGAGTAAGATGGTTTTGACTCTAAAAGAAACTGCCTCTATCCCTATGCTGCCCCAAGCAAGAGAAAGGATAATCCACCCTCTTATAGCTTACCTTGTCAAAGATTTCCCTAACGTTGGCTTCAGATTCCCCAAACCACATGGTGAGCAGCTCAGGACCCTTGATGGAGATGAAGTTGGCCTGACATTCATTTGCAATGGCCTTGGCCAGCAAGGTTTTACCACATCCAGGAGGCCCATAGAAGAGGACTCCCTTGGAGGGTGTCATGCCAAACTTGAGGAATTTGTCAGGATGCTCCACAGGATACTAGAAGAAAATAAAACAAATGATTCAAGTGCTAACTCCATAGTCTGTAAGAAAACAGAAGCAATTTTCAAATATTTCTCTGTGATATAAAATATAGGTTCTCTAGCAATAGCTAAACTTTTTACAGCCTGAAATTCTAAGAGGGGAAGCTTCACAGCTGTGACAACTCCGCAACATGCTGACACTCTGAAACCACTCAGGTAAATTTCAATGAATGGGCAGTGATTCACTCTGGACCAAGTCACTCTACCTGGACCAACTCCTG